ATATTTTTTTCGTAGATGCGATTTTTTGTAGTGGTTTTGCTTAATTGTAGAAAAAGTACATCAAAAAGATAAAATATAAAAATCCAGGGTTGACCTACTTCCCGCTCCCTCCCGCCTGTACCCTACTAGTAAATATATTTCCAAATTTACTACAATTCAAGATCGATAAGATCAGAGTATTTAGAGTAAAAACTTCCTCTTCCAACAACTATACCGTTACCCCCCTTAATTCTCTCTTTCAATAATTAAAAGTATACCTCCTTCTTTTTATTAAATATCTTTATAAAATAGTACGCCTTTTTATTAAACTCCTCCCATTTACGAAACGCAATTTTAGCAATAATATTATTAATTCTATCCTCCTACTTCTTATAGAAGAGTTTAAACGCCTTATCGAACTATACGTTAAATTGCGGGACGGGGGCGGGCTCTTGAGTAGTCTCTCTTACTACTTCGGTTAATACTCGTATATATTTAGCGATTATTTCGCTAATAGTCTTTTTCTTTTTCTTCTTAGGATTATTATTAGAAGCGGTAACCTTCCTTTTACTATCGCGGACGTAGGTAGGGACGGGTAGGGGGGACTCCTTATTATCGTTATTAAATTCAAATAGGGGGGCAAGCGCCTAACTTTCTCTAATAATTAGCAATACGCCTAGAATCTTAATATACTTACCGGTAATACCCTGGTTATTAGTGAAAGCTTCCTCTATAAGTTTATAGTGCGGGAAAGGTTTATTCTTAAATTAGCCGACCTTTTTATTCTTCTATTAGTTAGGGTTAGTATACATAATCCAAATCCATGCCCGGTCAGTACAATATACTAACCTCGATTAATAGATCCTATACTTCGTCGGGAGTAGTCGCAGTACCGGTATTAAGATTAAATCCGAACCCTAATTACGAGTAATTCTTTAAAATTAGCTACGTATACTATTTACAATGAAATTAATCGACTTTATTACGGATCTAGTTATTACTCAATCTAATACTAAACCGCTCAACTATATCCCTTACAAGATTATTATATACTTAGTCTTTATAACTATTCTAACTAATCACCCTATTGTTCGCAATATCTTTCAAAAGGGTAAATAAGTAAACCTCCTATTCGCTATTCTATATCCAATTCTTAGTAACCGTACGGTTCCTCTTCTTACCTCTAATTTGAAACTAGGACTGGCTAGAAGGGGGGGTAGACTAGCTATAGGGAAATGGGCTGAGTTAGCTTGGGGGAAGCTGGCTGCCTTGTGACAACAGTTGAGACCCCATTGTCTGGGATTCCTCCTGTGTCACTTGCGAAACTTGGCTGTCACTCATTTGGGTGTAAAAACAAGCGGATTTCGTTCTTCAACAGACATAAAGAAGGGTGGTGACGAACGGGGAGCAACGAGAAAGAAAAAGACCCATATCGTTCAACAACAACACCAAGATTATATACAGATGACCAGATACGACCGCTTCCATATTTCCAGCGATTCGAACAGATTTTGGAAATCCCCTCAAGAAAGCACCAAAAGTGGGTCAACGCCAAGGCGGAGCTCACCGCCATACATATTTACGATCTGGCCAGTGCGTTACCCTGTAAAAGGCATTTACTGGAAGCCTTTACTGGTGCATTTACTGGTTTACCGAACGCGCCCTAAGCCGGAAATTAGAATACGTTCTTAGGGATGAAATAAATAATAGATTGAAAGTTAAGTAGAAATTATTTATCGATTTCAATTGCTTTAATTAGTTTTTCGAGGACGGCCTACTATTGGATACTAATGGTGAAGGATTTATAATAAATGTTATATCTAACGAAGGGGCTCCCTTTGCTATTTATATTTTAGAAAATAGTTTTAAGGAGGATAACGACGGGTTGGGTATTTATATAGACGATTTAGTAGACTGGGTTTATATTAATTCCCCTATAATAGCCGATATCCGGGAAGCAATCCGGTTAGGAATTCGATAGTTAAAATATTTTAAGAAGAAATTGAAGATTCTTTTCGTTGAATGCTATATAGTTAACGATAGGGTAATATTCTGGGATAGGTTAATAATTCCCCCGGACAATGAGAAAGTTTAACTGGAATTAATTTATTATACCTATTCGTCGGTATAAGGAGGATATTTAAGAAGAGATAAAACGGTAGTATTAATATATTGATATTTCTAATTAGGAATAATTATTATAGTAAATTCTTATTACTATGCGTAGATTCCTTATAGTAAACATAAGATTATTAAAATATTACTAGCGGGTTTCTTCAAGCTTTTGCAAATTTTATATATTTTCTAGAAGGATATTTCTATTAATTATATAACCTTATTTCTGAAGTTTAAATAAGTAGGTAGAGGCGTCGAATATTAATATATATTAATTGTAGTTGATAAATTAATAAAGATAAGGTATTTTATCTTAATAGAAGGATTGTTAATAAAAGAATTAGTAGAGAAATTCATTAACTATATTTATATGTTCTACGGTTTACTAAATACTATTATATCTAATAGAGGTATATAATTCGTATTAGTATTATAGAAATAGTTATTATAATAATTAGGTATTAAATTAAAACTTTTTACCCTCTACTATGAAGAGATAAACGGCTAAACCGAAAAGATTAATACAAAAATAGAGTAATACCTACGGACGTTTATTAATTAAGTATAAAATAATTGAATAAATTGGTTACCTTTAGCTGAATTTTAAAGGAATAACTTTGAATTAGTATTAACGGGGGTTATTTTATTCTTCGCTAATTACGGCTTTTACTCCTAGATAAGTATAAAACTAACTATACTGTTACTCTTAAATATTATAAATATATAATAGAAGTAAATCTTTAATACTAATTAGTTAATTATACGTTTTAAGGAAATTTAGGATTTTATTAAAACTTCCTCTTTATAAGTATAGGAGCGTTATAAGGCGGCTGTAAATAAGAAACGTATAGATGCCCCTAAGTATAAAGTAGGCGACGAAGTGATATTTAATATAGTTAACTATACGATAGGGTAGTTGTATAATAAATTGGCGCTACGATTTAAGGGCTCCTTCTATATTATAAAGGCTAATTTGTATATAGTAGAATTAGTTTTACCTTAGAATATAAGGGTTACCTATATTGTTAATATATTCTGTATTAAGCTTTATATAGTAGAATTCCCTAGTTAAAAAGAATTGATAATAGACGTTAGGGTAAATAAATGTATGCTTATTACTAGAATAGACGATTTTAAGGAAGATAGGCAGTGGGAGTTCGAAGAATTATTAAATTATTAGAAGATTGATAGATTTTAGAAATATTTAGTAAAATAATTGTATTACTTACTAAATTAATAACCTGCTAAGAACCTTAACGGCTATTAAGAATTGGTCTAGGAATTTTATAATTAGTACCTAGAATTAGGCCCTCCGTACCTAAATTTTAGAAAAGGATGGAAAATATAGTAAAAGACAAAAATACTCTTAAAATCGATAATGAAATTCTTGGTACTATCCCTGCTATAGTAGTTTTAACAATAGACAACCGGTAAATAAGGAGAAGCGCGAGATTAAATGATAAGTAAAAAAATAATAAGTATTAGTAAAAAAGAAAGGAATTTAATTTAATTTATTCCGCGTACCCTAATTAAATATTTTATAGCATATTTTTTATAGGGTAACTATTAATAGTACTGAGAGATAATATATTTTATAGCGGTCTTACGTCTCCTATACCCCTAAATAGCCTACTCCCACTACGGATAAAGATTAGATAAATTAGAATTAGTAGAAATAATAATTGGGAGAGTTAAAGGGGGGAAAATTAGTAAAAATAATTATAAATAATTATTAACAAAATTCAAATTAGAAATTCCTATACTATTTATATTAGTAACGGCTATAGGCGTCCGACGTAAACTGCTATACTACGGGCGTCCCTATAATACCCCCGGGGGGCTAGTAATAGTAAGGGTTATTAAGGTTCTCTATATACGATAATTAGGCCGGTCTATAGTATATAGATGGATTATTAAGGGTAATAATAGTTCTTATAGTAGAAAGGTTAAATTTAGCGATATTTTAACTAGTATTTTACCCCTGAGTAGGAATTCAAGTACCGACGAGCGCTAAGTAATTTCCCGTTTTAGTAAAAATTTTGCCGATATTTAATTGGCTGTAATTATAGGGAGACCGGGGGAGCCCCACTTTATTTATAATAAACGAAATATTAAAATTTCGAATAGGAGTATCAATTTGAGAAGGGGGTAGTATTACAGGCATTATTGCTATATTCCTATATATAGATAGAGGGTACTATATTGCATTAGTATAGTCAGTTGTGTAGCTGCCTAAGTGTAGTACAGTAATTACGTATACGTATTAGTATAGTAGTTACGTACACGTATACTGCGGTCCCCGGATCCACAGCATGCCCTACATAGTTCTTGTGCGTATAGGATTCTCTTCCTATTCCTCGCACAACAATCAAAGTCTTACTTTAGTGCTTGCTCGCGCCCCGTGACACCTACTCCTCTTTGTAAGGTAAAATTTTCTCTTTAATCTACGAAACTATATCTTCTTATATACTCCCAAATTGGCGATATAGAATAGATTAGGTATAGGTAAATTCTGTAATATTAGAGGAGTAGATTATATACTATTATATAAAGAATTGTACGGATTTTATATTAGCGACCTTATTTAATAAGGAATCGAATTCCGCCTTAGCTTTAGTAGTTATTATAATTCGGGTATTGAGTCGTTTAAAATCTTTAAAATCCTCTTTATTACGTTACTCTATATTGTAACTAGGGGAGGATATACTAGGAGAGGTAGACCGTTTATATACTACTTAGGTTTTTTTAAGATAGTTAATAACGTTGCGATTAATATACTATATACAATATTGCTGTTATATATTAAGGTAGGTCTTATTAGTCACTTTAGTAAGCTGGGGGTTACCGTCGGTTATAATTACCATGGGGTAAGGGATTCTAAACTTATTAACTACTTCTTTAATATACTAGGTTAAAAAGCTAAACCCCTCCTCTCTCTCGTTATTAAAGACTATTTGAAAAATTAGTACAAAAATTCTCTCTAGGGTAAAAATTACTCCGTAAATATAGGGGAGATAGTAACGGTTAATCTTATATATAGTATTGATTAGGATAGTATATAGGAACCTTATCTATGTTCGGCGCTACCGATTGACTATCTGGAATACGTACCGTAATATATCCTTATCCTTATCCTCGCCCTTAAAGCTCAAATGAATATAATAGAGGGCTTTACCATCGTAATTATTATTGTACTACTTAATAAATAATTATATATAATTGTGTCCCTACTTTATATTATAACGTACCGCTTAACGTATATTATCGAGGTCGCTATAAATCCAAGGGATCTTAGGGTGTCTTTCTATAACTATAGCGAGGATTATCCGTATTATACGGTCCTATTATAATAGGAAGTTACTAAAAAAGCGATTCGCTTCTAAGTTAACCTCACAATCCTATTGTCACAGGGCTAGCCTGTGATTGTCATCTGGTCGCGGCATTACTACGGCTATAATTGCCGGTTAATATACGCTCTCTAATTGGCTGATCCGTTTAGCCTTACTACCGCTATAGTAACTATTAGGCCAACGCAGGCCTCCTAATTGGCTATACGCTCCCGGAGGCTCCAGTTATATATACTAAGGATACGGCTCACCCTCGCCTATATAGAATAAGCCGCTACGTACAAATTCTATAATTTCCCTTCTTCCTTATATAACTATAGAAATTATATTTTACCGCATATATTTAATATCGCCTTACCCTATGACAATTAATTGTACTTTACTATTATACTACGAATATACTTTATTGTAAGGAAGATGTACGTAATTTCATACTATTCTACAATATTATTGATTGCCGGAAATCCTACTACCTATTGAATTGAATAGAACCTAGAAGTCTTAATAGTAATATTATTATTACCGACGAAGCTATTCTACTAAAGGTACTAAACGAAGATATTAACGTCCTAAATATTTTTCAGAATAGTGAATCCGAGAGCTCCGATCCGCTAATAAATAAAGACGTTTATCTGATTATCTTAGAAAGTATATTATATAGCCGAATGATTACATATTTTACTATTATTATTATAGAGGATAAGTTTAGATTTCTTCGAACCTTTAAAGGATCCTTCGTTAATACTACTATCCTTACAGATAATAGTACCTTTTATTTTTTAATTTCCCCGATTGTTTGAATAGTTTAAATATTTATTTTTTCTTAGCGATGGCTTTATAAATTAGTTTAGGGAATTCGAAGGTTAGTTTTATATTGAAAGAACAAGGAATAAAGAGTTCAGAATGAAATTCAATAAAGTTTTATTGAAATTAAGTATTACTATAATTAATTAGGGTATTAATAGGGGCGAAAATAACCGTACCAGCGGAGGATTTAGTACGGGAGGCGGAAGTTTATTAGGAAATAATTTGGAGGTTGTTTATATAATTAGTACTTTTGGGGCTCTTTTCGAAATTACAACCGTTTTTAAGAAAGCGTTATTTTCCGACCCTAACCCGTTTATAATTAATTAAAAGAACCCCGTTCTGTATAAAAAGGTATATATTACTAAGAAGAGTAGGATTTTAATAGTATAGGAATTAGATTATCTCCGGTTTCCCGACGAGCGTAATAAGATTTTCTATATTAATCACCTATTAGGCTCCGAGGTAGCCGTTATTTTTAAAAAGGACTTTATAATTATTTTACTCCAGTCTGGTATATTTAGTAAATGGAAATAGTAAAGAAGTACGCAATTAATTAAATTCTTAGACTTTTACTTTAATAATATCAATTTAAAATTCGATATTAAGAAGTATTTTAACGAACTTAAGTAAGGTAATATATATTTCGCTAGTTTCGAGATTGAATTTATTGAAACGGCCGATTGTAGTTACTTTAATAAACCTACAAAAATCTATTACTTTCGAAACAAAGTCTTAACTAAACTCCGCGCCATAATTTCTAATCAATATTTATATTTGAATAACGACGATTTTGAAGGTTGGCTATCTATTTATAAAGATTTAATATATTACTTAGAGGATAATGAATATTATATTAAGGTTAATTAGTTATAAATTAGTAAATTTAGTAGAAGTAGTAATTCTAATTCTATTAAAGGAGGAAACGGTCTTTAAAACCGTACTATTAATTAGGGCAGCAATATTATAAATTTCAAGGCGATTTATATATCCTAAGTCATTTATTCCAATTTCATTAATCAATGAATAAAAGAAGGCTTTTATAGGAAGTGTAATAAGGAGGGTTGTATTATATGTAATTGTAAGAATAATATTAATTATAATAGTAAACCTCTGTGATTTACTAGATTTCGCAGTAATCGTATTAACCGAGGCCGTGGAGGCTGGGGCGGCCGTAGAAAGTATAATACTTACTTTAATATTAACCGACCTTCTTCTAATTAATAAGCCTATAGTAATATTAATTTATACGCCGCCGGTACCAAGGAAGGCAAGGGTAAAAAAGACCAGTACGATGTACCTAGTATTAATAATTAGGGAAATACTTCAATTCTAAAAATAAATTATTAATAGAGGCAATAAAGGTTTATATAGGAGAAACCCCGGGATAGTATTAAAGCGTTAGAGATAGTAGTTATTAATTTACTAAATAGTTTCATTTAAGATTTAATACACCTTTCTTTTTACTTCCTACTTAGACTGTATAAAATACCGTATACCGTACTTATAGATAATAATGGTTTAGCCCTAGCCTTTTTTAACCGTACTTTTATAAAATGAAATAGTTTTGTTATATTTAGGTTTAGTCGACTAAAGAAGTTTAATTGGCTAATAGTATTGTAAAGGGTTTTATTACTAAAGGGTTGGCCGCGAATTTTCTTATTAAGTATCAGATAGAAAATATTATTTTCTTAATATATAACCTCTCCTTAATTTACCTGGTAATTTGAGGCCTACCCTAATTAAAATGTTACGAATTATCTATTTTGTAGACCGATAGAACGGTTATATTCTCTAATAGATATGACGCTAAGTACTTTCTAACTAGGTTGCCGGCGTTCTTGAAAGTTGTATCAAATGTTAGTTACTATATTTTCTTTCTCTGATATTATTGGGCTAATAATCTATAAGACGGTATAATAAATAATGATAGCTTTATTTCTTTAGGACTTTAAACGAACACAATGAATTATATTGTAAGGATAACAATATTTTTTGACCTTTAACTCCCGAGAATAGTGACTAAATGAAGGTATTTCATATACTTTACTATTAAGTCCGATTTTAACCTGTTCAAACGACCTATTATATAAGATATTATTTAGAATTAATCCTAATAGGTTATTCTCCCCGTAAACTCATATAAACTTTAAATAGAAATAGTACATTATATTAAGAAAATACGTAAAATTCCTGTTAATTTAATTAGTAGGGCTGGAAATCTAAATGATATTCAAAATTCAATTATAAATCCGACGGGACTATATGCGGTATAAAGACTAACCCAAAAGTTATTTAATTAGACGTAAGATTAGAAGGCCGACGAATATAGATGCCGGATATCGATTAGTAGGAATTTAGAAGAATAAAATAGGACTTACAATATTTGGGAAGCCCTGTCACAAGCCTAGTAAAGTTATTAGGCTAGAGGAGACGGATTGGAAGTATGTAATTACTATTATCATATCCCTTAAAGGATTTAATAGAATTATTGAACCTGGAGAGTTCGATTAGGAGAACATAGTAAGTCTCCTACCCTTAATTAGAATTAGGAATTATACGGCCGGGCCGGCCGCTAATACTAAGAGAGTAACTATAAACCTATTTAATTATTTAAGAGGGACAAAAGGCACCTTACTAACCAAGATTAAGAGTATAACTATAGTATTTCCTAATTGCTTAGGACGTTCGAAAACTCTTTTACTAACTCTCCGGACGCTATTCTCCTATAGAATATAATAAATAGTATTTAGGTTCTTAAGTACAACTATATTATTATTTAAGAATATTAGCCCCAGCGGGTTCTAATTACTTTATTTAAAATTGTACTACGGAAGTAGCCCCTATATTATAAGAATACTTACCAAGAGGTATTTTTAGGAAATTATAAGGTATATTGATCCTATGAATATTATAAATATTAATATTACAATATTTAATTAATTATATTAATACCGTTGAGAGGGTACTGTAAAAAGCACAGTAATATGTAATTTTTAAATGTATGTAAATCTATAAATCGAAAGAAGAATCGAGAGTAAGAAGCTCGCGTACGGTTAATAACCAAGAGTAACCCTCCGCACACCCACCCCATCCCCTACATACACCCAAAAACCCCCAAGGCAGCTAGTATATAAATAACCGTATTTTGTATGTAATTTTACTCGTTTTACATATCTGGGACCTTAGTCAGATTTTTGGGACACCCAGTTATCTCAAATCTAGTAATATCCTTATAGTGTTTACAGCAAATTGATAGTAATAAAACGCTCTATTCAATCAATATTAATTACACACGATCAGACTCGATTGCACTCCATTATTAAATATTGATATTTAACAGCTCAGATAGCTCAGAGAGCTCGTCAGACGAAGAAATTAATAATACCTTAATAACTCCCTACTCTTTTACTCTCTACTCTCACACTCTTACGACTTAATACCTCCCTAACTTATTATTACTATTATTATCGTTAATAACCTCAATACAGCTACGTACTTCATCTTGGGTATCAAACTACTCGATACTAAACCCCGCCTTATACTAGGAATAATTGCGCCGTACTAATATTCGTATAAGTTGGGTATTCTTTAATTTACCGCGGGGTACCGCTACCTTCTTACTAACTTTCTTACTTCAAACTATTTTAATTAATAAAGTACTTAATAGAATAACTTCATTTCTAAATAGACTACTCTATTTAGAAGGGCGACTTTTAGGTATACCCTTAGCGGCTTACTAAAAACGTAAATATCTATTTACTATATTTTAATATAGTAATTAGTATAAATGTAGCCCGGGGGAAGGATAATAGTAATCTTACCCATTATTAAACTAAATACTAGAATGAACAATAATTATCCTTTATAATTAAAACTATTCTACTAATTTCCTTCTTTACTACTAATTTATAGGC